ATCTCATAGATGTGTATGATACTCTTCATCAAGAGGTTAAGGATTGATTAAAATATACTTCAAAAGCATCCTAAAGGACTCTTTGGTTAAGGGGTGAGATACCTGTCTTTTTACGATGATTCACCCTCTGTCGAATGGCCTAGTCTCATCTTATCATCTGGAGTTCCTCACTATAGAATAATGTTCAAAACTCAAAATAAAATATCCGACCAACGGAACCAAGTCAATCAAACTAAGTCTATTTGAATTGAAGACCATTAGAAGCTAACAGACAAATCCAAATCAACACATTCAAACGATCAGATCTTATCCTGTTAAGGGCCGATCATTTCAGCCAACCATGTAGTAGGGTAGCCAAACCATAGGCTTATACTCATGAAATACCTAAAATATCTTGTAAAACCCTCATTAAAGTAAGGGAAAGCATTTATTATATACATTATTGATATCTTATTTCCAGGTTCACTCACACTCTAGAGTCTTACGCAAGTGTACGTGTCGTTTCAGTAACATCAGATTTTGTGTCCAGTAACGATCCCACAGGAAATGAGGGAATTAGACTTAGGAGAAGTTCTAGTTCACTGTGTTTAGCTCTTAGCTTGGAATTGTAATTAATTAAAGGTTCTACAGAAAACTCCTATTGAATTGCAATCTAGTTTTAAGGGTTAAATCCATAGATGTCATACTTAACATAATTGGATTGGTGATTATCAAGTTATAGAGTTACCTTCCCAAGCAGTAATATAAGTGTAGTCTAGAAAATGTAAAGTGTCAATTGTGAATGTAGTTAGTGACAAATAGGAGCAACTCTCTTCTTTCCATCTCCCGAGTGCATGAAGAAGTTTGGTTAAATTGGCTTTAATTCCTTAAATCCTAACTTGAACCCATTAAAGACTGTTTCCTTAAAATTTTCATCTCTCAATAAGTACTGCACCATACCCTATAGATCAATGTAAATAACCTAGTTTTTCTACTATAGCTTTCTCGAGTCTTTATGGATCTGTTGGCATCAATTTTTGATGTCACGAGTGTAGAGTGTCCACCCGCATGACTCAGGATAGTTTACGGTCTGTCTGTGACGTCCGATAGTTCAGACACCTACCCGAGACCTTTCCGACAGGTGTTGAGGGGCACGTAGTCGGGGTCATTTTGCTAGGCTATGATTTTCTCTTAGGTGAAGGCCGGTCGGTATTTGGTACGTCGGACGACTCCGACCTGGGTGAAAAACATTATGTGGCGCGTCAAGCGCAATTTTTTGCTCGAATCAGCCTGATCGCTTAACGTTGCCCAAATGACCCCGAATGACGAAACAAATTACGCCAACGCGTCCAAAACGTTGATTTTAGCCAAGAAGGATGTTCATTTTGCCTCGAGGATGTGTACGAGTGAAGAATACACGAACAATAATTAAAATAATATAATAATAGTTATTATTATATAATATATTATATATATATATATATAACCTATCGCTTCTCTCTCTCTCTCCCTCTCCCGATCGCACGAAATCGCAGTCGCCAGCCCATGCAGCGAACCCTAGCTCCAGAACTCCTCCCTCGTGCTCCTGTCGTCAACCGCCTCCCTTGCCGCTGACCTCTTTGCCACCGGTTGGACACTAGCACCCTCCAACGCCGTCCGCGCCGTCTTCTCGCGTGGAGGGACCTCCAGCCAAGCTTCTTCTTGGTCGTCGCCTTCTTCGCGTCTGATGTCTCGCTGCCGGCGAGCCTCACCGGCCTCCTCCAGCCATAGGCCGGTCACCTCTCCCTCTTCCCGTTCTTCTTCTTCTCTTCTTGGTCGTACACGGATTCGTCGGCTCCTCCTCCAACTCTGACGCCGAGATCCCAAATTTTGTCGGACCTTTTCCTCTCTGACCTTTTGCCTCGCCGACATCGTATTTACGCTGGAGAAAATCAGCGAGGAGAACTTCAGATTTTGGGCTCTTCTTCGTGTTTCTTTCGCTCTCGGTGCGCACCACCAACGAGCTAACTTCTCCACCTCGCCATTTTATCTTCCTGGCTACTGGACACTTTGTCGGAGCACCTCGATGTCGCCGAGCAGCGGTGATACATTGCTTTGGAGAGGTGTGGATGTCTTTTCCGTTGCGAGGAAAGCTTCCTCTCTTTCACCATCATCGAGCGATCATCTCTTGCGAAGGTACCTTTTTTTGTCACATATTTTTATATGCTAAATTATTTATTTTTGGTACTTCGCATACCTCACAACCTCCTCTATCTTTTTGTTGTCCTGTGCACGTCTACGAGGCATACAGGAGTGTGGGTCTAATGCCTGTGAGCTTGGAACAAGCAAAGAAAACGCTTCTACAACCGTCACGGTGGTGAGATTCTCTACCTCCCAGTCAACCTTAGGAATAGTGGAGTCTAGGCATGTGGGTTCGATCGCCCACACGGGGTGCGTGTGCTGGTGTGGGTCAGCATGAAGACGTGCCTGCGTGATGGATCTTTGGTTTTCATAGAGCCAACATTTAGGTTAGGACTTCCTATGTGTGGCCAAACACCCCCCATAGAGCCGAGTGTCTCCCCTCTTATTGTGAGTCTTAGCACAAGTCCTGATGGGTTGGAGTCCCTCACTCCCCTTGTTTTTGATTCCCCAACTTTACTTGGAGAAGTTGGGAGATCGGACTTGGCAAAGCGAGAGAAGCTTTGTAGCTGGCTCGCTTTGTAAAGTCTTGAGGAGTTCACAAAAATAGGAAAAGCTTTGTAGCTATCCTATTTCACGACGCCATGGAGAGTTTCCCCCATGGAGTTCTGGAAAGAAACTCCCCACATTTCCTCACCAAAGAAAGAGGCGATGGTGCCGCACATTCAAAAGTCTAAAACTTACGTCTCCTGGGTGAGGTCGTTATGACGAGCCTGATTTGTTACATGCATGTTGATTTGTTGCATATTGAATTTTTTCTTGGTGCATGTTGCATTTTACTTTGCTTCGACCGACCGCCCCAGCCCGGTGAACATTTCACTAATTTTCAACCGGCTGCCCCGGGCCGGTGAGCCTCTCACTTTGCTCTGATCGGCCGCCTCAGCCTGGAGAGCCATCTTACTTCACTCTTACTGGCCACCCCGGCCCAACGAGTATTTCACTTCGCTTTGATCGGCTGCCCGACCGGATAAGCGTCTCACTTTGGTTTGACTCTGCTCTAACTCGGTAGACCGATCACTTTGGTTTGGCCGGCCACCACGGCCCAGTCGACTGATCTCCTGCATGTTTGTTTGCTTTTACATTATATCGCATGCTTTTTTGTTTGCATGTTGCATCTGGTATGTGTTAGCTTGCATGATCATTATCATTTGCTTTTGTTGTACTTTTTTGGGTTGCTGCCACTACAACACGCCCATCACTTTTGGTCACTGCCTCCTCGGCACACCTTCGGGCCGCTGCCACTACGACACACCCATCACTTTTGGTCACTGTCACCTCGACACACCTCTACAGGTCACTACCGCTACGACACACCCATTTGTTTGGGCCGCTGCCTCTACGGTACGCCCATCTTTTCTTGAGTCACTGCCCCACGGTACGCTCATCACTTATATCACATGACTGGCTGCATTTGCATGTTTTCATGGATAGCGAGCTAGGCTCATTAGGAGAGTGACCCCGTGTCGGTCGTGATGCCTTAACAAGCATTGCTTGCTGGGTTCATCCCGGTGAGCAATGCGAGTTAAGTCATCGGGATTAACACGAGTATGACTGTGCTAAAGATCTAATAGATCTAACTCGTGTCACCCCTCTTCGTGACACCCTTTAGATCCTTAGACAGATCTTTAGGATGGGGCTGGTATGACGACCCTATCAAAGTCATACTATACCCAGATCTACTCCGCACTTAGATACTAGGTTGATGCACTTTTCATTAGATGATGTGCTAGGCTAGGATTTAGGGTGCTTAGAGTCTTTTTGATGTCTGGCTATTGTTCTTTGCTGGATTGGTTGCCCTAGTAAGGTATCTTTCTTTTGCATTGTATTTGTGGTGTGATTGCATGTTGCATATGTATGGTAGTGTGTTAGGGAATTATTCTACAAGGAGTCATGCCTATTTATATGTACACATACAGGTACCGCTATAGGGGAGCAAGTAATGATTTCTATTGCTTGCAGGTGCTATTAGCTCCCCCACCTATTAGCTCCCCCACTTATAACCCCACTTATAAGGCATGGCTCATGACACGTTATTTGCATGTGAGCTTTCCTGCTAACACTTGTTTTCATGCAGGATTGAGTCTTTTATTTTTCTATGTACTTTTTAGAGTCTAGGAGAGTTCTATAGTAGAAATAAGATACGGACTCGGGTTTCGAGACGTTTAGCGCAGGAACCACATGGAGGTGGCCAGGAGCTGATGCTCGTGCCCCGTATCTTAATTCTGCATTTTATATTGATTTATAGAATTAGGACCGAGCATGTATATGCAGAGTCTGACCACCCTCTTTCCTTTTTGGGATATGTTGCTGACCTAGCGGCACCGGCCTTTTATTATTTTGATTTCACTTGTTTTGTTTTTTGCATCATATTGTATGCCTGCACTTGCATGTGTTTTTCTTGTTTCTTTCTGTGGTTTATCTGGGATTTCACGATATAATCTAGGCTCATTAAGGACCCTAAAATTGTAATTTTCTACAAAATCCTAAATAAAATATTCAAGATAATTAAAATTTAGGATTAAAACATTCAGGATTTAAAAATTTTCACATTTACTTTCCTGCTTATATTAATAGGGCCTCCACAATACTTAAGGACCGCTCTAGATAACTGCATTCATATTTGCATGTCCCGAGGAGGAGTCCCCGTGCTTCTCCAACCTGACTGGCCCAGCATACCTCTTTATGGGTGGTTGTCTAGTTCGCTTAAGATGTTAGAAGGCCCCCCGACCCAGACGGGGTGTAAGTCCTTTTGTTTGGAGTGTTTCCAGCTTTGTAGCTGAACCTCTACTTTCTTTTCTTTCCTGAGGCATCATTGCCACTTTGACAGGTATAAGTACCACCTCTTGGAGCTCCAGCTTTTAGTCATAAGATAGAGCTTCTTTTCTTTTACCTTAGAACTACTGAGGTTCACATGGACAACGCAATTCACGATTTGCTGACCAGGGAATCTCAAGACATGTTGGGTCGACTACCTTAACGACCAGGTAGACTTATGGTCCTAATAGCTGTGGATGACGGGTGTGTGGTACCCCGACCCAGTTACCTCTACCTCTTAGGATAACTCTACCTTCTTTTTTGTTGAGCCCCTTTGAGCCCTGTCGCTCCTTGACTTCGTTGATATCATTTTGATGGCCCAATGCCAATCAGCTACCACCTATTTGGGATACGACGATTTGTCCTCTGCCCTGGCACGAACGTGCTTTGACGTGTTTGGATATCCCCGTCAAGATGATTTAGGTTATTCTGTGGGCCCCGAGTGTCGATAAAGTGTCCATAAGCCGCTACCCATTCGGCATGTGAGAAACTCACTCTCTGTTCGATGGCTTAGCGCAAGTTTTGAAGCATCGAGACTGTTCTCATATAGAGTAGCCTTCCTTTGAGTACATATTTCCCCAGGTTCACGATAATCCAAGAGAAACTCCTTTTATCGAGAGTATTCTTGGGTACCCCCTAAGATGTAATTAACCAAGTGGGATACGTCCCCTTGAGAGTGCTCTTGACCCCAGAACAGGCAAGTATACCTGAATCTCTGATTATAGGTAGTCTACGTAGATATTCCTTTGTGGATATCAGTTTAAGGTGCTTTCGCCCGATCTTGTTTAAACGGACACTCTTAACCTATCCTTCAAAAGGTTTACCGCACGTAGACTCTCCACTTTTTATGTTTTCTCTTATTTTTTCGCATTGACGTATGTCCCTTTTTTTTCAGTTCCTCTCCTCTTCAAATAACTAATTTGATTTGGAAGGGAGATTTATTCGAATGGGCGAAGTAAACGACGATCGACAGGCTGACGACTCCTTCTAAAATAAAAAAGAGAAAAACAAACAAAAACACTGGGATCACAATACATTTTAATGATTCACTTAGTCAAAATGAAATGTAAATGAAATTCAGAAGGTTACTCATCACATTAAATTTTAAAACCAATTTTAGAAACACTTTGCACTTCTACATGTCATACTCAACCATCACTAGGAAAAGTAAAAGAGAACTACTCAAAAAACATGAACACACCACAAAATATCATTTCAGATAAGAAAATCCACTAAATAATTGTATTTACAGTAATATAATGATAAAAAACACAATACATAGTTTTCTCTCCTTTATAAAGTTCTGATAAAGATCTCCAAAAGATCTCCTAATCCATTGTTACTCTCTTGAATATTCTTTGCACAAGGCAACTCAAATCCTCACCAAAACTAAGTAAAAGCTATCTCTACTCTTTCTTACAACAAATCTTTAGCCCCCATATATCTTCTATAGTTACTCTTCTTTAGAATTTAAAACATAACATAATATATCACTCAATCCGTCCGATAACTCCCCAAATCGTGTTTACAAACTGCTAAAAATTGCCTTAAGCAGTTGCTGATGCCTAGAAGCTAAGGGGTTGGCGCCTAGGCTCCAATCTCTATCTGCCAGGAACAATATGGGTGCCTAGGTGCCCGTGGGTCTAGGGCCTAGGAGCTAGTAAAGTGGTGACTTAGCACTCGATGGATTGCTCCAAAGTGACAAGCTCTTTGGTTTTCAGAGCTAGAACTGGCGCCTAGATGCCAGTCTTCTGTAGCTTCCATTATCTATAGGTCTCCACCACTTTGCTCCATGTCTCGTCCACTTTGCTTCTCTTCTAATACTTGTTGTACCTGTAAGAAAAACATAAAAATACAATTCTTTAAAGTACAATTTGATAAAAAAAAATATAAAAAAATTGTAGGGAATAAAAGTATTCTTTTCCACACATCAAAATCCCTCAAAGTTATAAGTTACTTGTCCTCAAGTATTAATATAGTTTAAATATTAATTCAATGGAGTGGGTTTCATAGAAATTATCAACAATTAAGCATCAGAAAATTCATACTATAAAAGTAGGATAACTCTAGTAAAGAAGTTTAGCCCTAGGGTATAAAAATCCTTGCTTCCATTATAGAAAACATGATTTCCTATTTACTTCAAAAAGAAATGGACACTTGTTGAACTTAGTATCTTAGATGGTAGAAAAATAGAATTTAAACACTCCTTTTAAAATGATTTACTCATACATCCTAGATATTAGTAAGCTTAGGAATGAAGTAATGTTTAAAGTTTAAAAACAATCTAATGAAACAAATTTTTTATGAGGCATCTCCTCAAGCTTCTCCTCATCTTATATATTCTTATTAATCTTTTTCTTGCTTTAGGGTGTATATTCCAATCCTTAGCATCAATTTATGAGGATTACCATATCTAGATAGGTCTTTTAGTAGTTTTGAGTTTCACTATCATCTCTCCAAATTAAAACGCTCCATACTTTTTCACTTGTTAATTTCTTATCAAAAATTCAAAAAGTTTAAGTTGAAAATATAATTTAATGGTGGCTCAATTCTTATTAAGTATATATCTAACCACACCTAATTCAACATGTATATCTCTCTCTTTAAAAATAAATAGTTAATTCATTTTTCTACATGTTGTATTACAAATTAACTTAGTGCTAGTCTCATTTACATAGAGTTTAAAATAAGAAAACTTTGTCTTTCCCTTCTTAATATTATGAAAGTTTCAATTTTAATCCCAACATCTCAAATCTACTAAATCCTGAAAATTCAAATTCAAGTTACTAAGGACAATTACATTTATGCTTTTGAAAGATTTTTCTCCCCCCAAACTTGATTTTTAACATATATAACAATTAAGAAACATGAATATAAATGGGAAGAAAGCAACACACAAATACTTTCTATCAAATGTGTCTATCATCAAGATTAACATGTATAAACTGGAAAAAACATATATGTGGTAGCATGTAAATCCAAACTAAACATGAATACACATGAAAATACATAAAAAATTATAAATGACACAAGTGAAATAACAACAAGTTTCACCACAATACAGACTAATGAAATGAAAAGTACATTAATAGCAACAACAAGAAAATAAAGTCTAGTACAACCACAACAAAAGAAAAATAAAGTTGCTCCTCAGCCTCGTCGTCCTCCTCCTTATCATCATCGTCACCTCCATCTTCTTCATTTTCCTCCTCCTCATATTCTTCAACCATCGGTTGAGTGTGCTCATTGGGATGGTAGCAAGGATATAAAGAGAACTCCACTAAATTATCCCTTCAATCACTTGTTCCTCCTATATATTTCTAGTTCAGGTGATCAAATTGTCTTTTAATTTCTAATCAAGTGTAAACTATATTCATCTAATCATTATGCCTCTCCATTTAAAATGGAGATATCATCCTCTACGCTCTCTAACTTTTGTTCAAAAGCACCCATCACATCTTTTAATTGTTAATCAAGTGTAATCAATGTTCAGTTAATTGATATGCCTCTCCATTTAAAATGTTTAAAAGCACCATCACAATAGTAGGATGTGATCTTTATGGAATAGAAGAATGAGGTTGAGCTATGGGGCATGACCTTCTTGCTAACACGACATTCCTCCACTATAGTTAAAATTTTTATTTGGAGAATGGCTTGAATGGATGAAACATCTCCTACTCACTACTAGTAAAAACTCCAGAATGGTGGCGCAAAGAAAAGATGGTAGACAGGTGGCCCAAATCAAGAGTAGTTCCCCCATATTTGGTATATGTGATAGAGTAATGAATTAGGAAACCTATGTCAATGCACTCGTTATTTAGGATGCAATAAGATAAGAATGCTTGATCTCTTATCACTTCATTAAGATGAGTAGGAGGAAGCTTTTTAGTAGATATGAAAAAGTGTCAAGCTTTCAATATTCTATTCAATTTGAAAGTTCCATCATTAGGAACAAGGTGTTTAATTTTAGGAAAATTTCTAGTTTACTAAATTCATTCTTAGCTTAGAAGTTGAATTGGTTTAAGGTTATGCTAACTAGTTTTATGAAATTACAAATATTCTTAAAGTTTTACTCCTACAGAAATTATATTTAATATATTTTGATTGGTGATAATCAAGCTATAAAGCTACCTTCCCTTGCAATGATCTAAGTGGAGTGAAGGAAATTAAAATTGTAAATTGTGAATGAGGTTACCTCACCATACCCTATAGATCAATGTGAATAACTTGGTTTTTCTTTCATGGCTCTCTTGAGTCATTATGGGTCACAACACATTTTAACTAATCACTTCGATATAATAAAAAGTAAATGAAGACTTGAAGGTTACTCATCAAATTATAAATTTAAAAACAATTTTAAAAGCATTCTTTCTTTCCTTCACTTCCTTCTTAATCACCAAAAGGGAAAAGAAAAAAAAGACAACTCATAAAACATTGAGAAAAGACCACAAATCATCTTTGAAAATAAGTAAATCCACTATAGAATTGTGTTTATAGAAATAAAATAACAAAAGTACACAATACTTAGCTTTCTCCTTTTACAAAGTGTTGTGAATGATTCCCCAAGGATCTCTTCATTCCCTTTGTTGCTCTCCTCAAGTCTCTCTATAATTTACAATTGAAATTCTCTCCACCTAATGCTCTCCTACTCTATTTTACAGCAAAAGCTTGCCTTATCCTCCAACCAAGAATTTTCCGTAGTACCCCACTTCAAGCTCTCTTTGAAAAGAATGTCAAAACTCTCCAAAAAAGCTTCTCTCCTCATCTAAATATATTACCACATTGTGTTGAGTAACTACTGAAAACTACCCAGACAGCTTATGGAAACTAGGCTTCAGTCTCTTTGTCTCCCAGTTCTAGTATGGGTGCTTAGGAAACCAAAAATCTAGCTATAAAGCACTTGTGTAGTGGTCCTTTGGTTCCCACTACACCAGCCTCTTGAGTTTACAGGGTGGGATCGACCCCTAGGTGCCCAAGAAATCTGACACCAAGGCTCCAGTCAGTGATAACCTCCTTAGCACCAAGTCACATCCACTTAAATCCATTAATTCTCCACTTTGCTTCTCCTTTAATGCATATTGTACTAACAAGAAAAACATAAAATTACATTTTGTTAAAGTGCAATTTTATCCTTAAAATTATGCAAAATATAAAGAAAATTAAGCATTCATTTCTACACATCAGGAACGTGGTGAATAGTACTAACCAAGGCATTATCTGATATAGGATAGATAACGTGGTGAATAGTACTAACCAAGGCATTATCTGATATAGGATAGATAATCCCTGCATCAAGCCACTTCATTGTTTCTTTTTTAACAACTTCTTTCAAAATAGGGTTTATTCTCCTTTGAGTATCTATCTTGGGTTTATGTTTATCTTCCATCCAGATCTTATGCATACATATAAAATGACTAATTTCCTTTATATCTGCTAAGATCCATCCAAAAGATTTCTTATAAATCCTCAAAATATCCATTAATTTTGTCTCTTGTGAATGAGTCAAATGTGATGATATGATAACTTGTAATATAGATGACTTCCCCAAATAAGCATACTTTAGATTTTTGGGAAGCACCTTCGTCTTAATTTCAGGGGTTCCTCAATAAAAGATATAGGAGGTTTATAATTTTCTATTGTTTCTATAATCTCAAGCTTCTTCTAAATAATTATTAAATTCACTTCTACCAATAAATCAGATTCAAGAGTCTACAGAGTTTTCCTCATTTAATTATGGCTCTACTATTTTGACTTGACAACTCTCTCAAAAATGGCTACTACACAAATAATCAATTAAATCCATCCAAAAACATGTATCTTCATTTCCTTTATAAGGATACTTCAAATATTATAATACATTAAACATAACCTCTTAATTATTTATCCTCATAGCTAGCTCACATTTTTGCACATCTATCATAGCTCGTCTAGTGAATAGGAGAGGTCTACCTAAGGTTATAGGAATTTTTGTATCTTTCTTGATATATAAAATAATGAAATCAATAGAGAAGAAAAACTTGTCCAACTTTACGAGAACAATTTTTATAACCCCACATAGTTAAGTGATCAACCGATCACTTAGTTGAGGGGTCACAGTAGTAGGAGACACCTCTCCTAATCCTATACCTTTAAAAATAAATAATGTAATAAGGTTTATATTGGCACTAAGATTGCAGAACGCTTTGCCATAAAATCTCTCACCAAATTTACAAAGGATATTAAAGCTCCAAGAATCCTTAAGCTTCTGAGCAAGCTTCTTCTGTATGATAACACTATGCTCCTCATTGAGTGCAACTGTTTCATAATCTCCAAACTTCCTCTTCTTTCCATTAATCTCTTTTATTAACATTAAAAAGCTGGGCATTTATTTTAAATCCTCAGTAAATGGAATATTATTTTATAGCTTCTTGAAAACTTCTAAAAATCTTAAAATTACTGGTCCAACTTTTGTTTTTGGAGAAGATGGTGGTGTTGGTCATTCTGAATTAATCTTCATTGGTGAACTAGTTTTTCTAAGGCCTTGGAAATATCTTCCAAAGGTCTTTCAATTTTTATAATTTCCTTCTCAATTTAACATCTTTCCAAACTACACACTCGAATTCTCTTGCACACCTTAATTGGACAACTTTGACATGCTCGTTATTCTTCTTAGGATTAATATTAGTGTTGTTAGGAAGAGTTTCTTGGATTCGATTGCTAAATGAGTTAGCAATCTATCCAAATGGGTATTTTATGTTGTTAACTATTGCACCTTGAATTTGTAGTTGATTCCCCATCAGCAACACAACTTCCTTCCAAGACAGCTTCATCTCATTGAACTGTGCATTAGAGTCAAATCTTGGAGGATAAGAAGGTCTATAATTAGTAATATCATATTAATTCTAGTTTCCTAAAAGATTTGCTTAATTATTTCCTCATTTATTTTTCTCATTAGATTTGTTTGGTCTATTATTAATGGCATTTAGGGTCTCATGTGATAAAGTATTATCAACAACCAATTGTCCAAAAGAATTTTCCTCAATTGCCACAGGTCCTTAGGTTCAGTTCATTCCAAATTTGTCAAGCTTCCTAGATATGACTGCTACCTGAGAAGTTAGAATTGAAAGCACATTTGTATCATGTACACTAGCTACCTTCCAATTGTTTACTCTCTCAGAAGACCATTAAAAATGTTAGTGGCCATATCCTCAATTAAAAAATATGCCTCATCAAATGGCTTTGACATGAGCAAACTACCAGGAGTAGTATTTATAAAAGATCTAAGGGATTCAACTAAAACATTGTAAATAGTCTGAATAATCAATTAATCAGGTAGTGCATGACTTGGGCACTTCCTAAGAATCTCCTTAATTCTCTCCCAAGCTTCATAAATTAACTCAGCTTCAAGCTGGCAAGATGAAGTAATATCATTTATGAGTCTAGCCATTTTTTAAGGTGAGAAATACTTGGCTAGGAATTTTTGGGTCAAGTCACCCCATGTTCTAATTGATCCCTGTGCTAATAAATTTAACAACATTTTGATCTTATCCTTTTAAGAAAAATGAAAAAGTTTAAGCCTATGACACCGTTTGACATGAAACTTTAGCAAAATGTAGCACAACTTTCTAAAATACTTGATAAGTGTAAGTTAAGATCTTTAGATGGGGTTTCCCCAAACTAATTTTTCTACACCATTTGGATAATAGCAAGCTTATATTTAAATGAATTAGCATCTATGGCAGGGGTTTGAATACTGATCTCATTACTGCTTATGTGCACAGTATAACAATGACTCTAATGATCTTTTTCACTTATGTTATCTTACTTTGCAATAGAACCAAAAACTTGATCCTGAAGAAAATAAAAATTTAACTCTTTAATATATATATATATATATATTGGGATACCACACTAGTATACATATCATTATCAAGTAATATAGGACTTTTTGATTAAGCCTCAAATATCGATCTCACGAGGGAATTGGTAATATGCACTTCTCGATTATCAATCCCACTGGGAAAATTGGCAATATGCACTTTAAAACAACAAACTTCTATTTCAAAAAAATAATTACTTAAACTATAGATAATTTGACAGTAATTAAAATTCAAATATTTTTAGTATTTTTGATATTTTGACAAAACAGTAACACCTTCTAAGTTACTTGAGTTTTAGTAAAGAAAAGCACATATTATGAAAATATCTTTCTCATTTTCATGAATCAATAATAAGTATAGGAATTACGTTG